TGTGGTGCACCCTGGGCAGCGTATAGTCATGAGGTAAAAAAGTCTATTAACAGGCAGTTGACTTCTGAGTTCAAACTGCCATGACCCAACTGTGTGTCATATTCGACTACTTTCACACTATTCACCTCACCATTCATATACCTTTGTGTCTGTCTCTTTTACATCTTTAAAACACTCTTCTGTTCCTCCTCCTCGACTTTTTTCGATTTGATGTTCCTCTCCCTCTGTGAAGCCTGAAGTCAACTAACGACCTAATTATAACTATAATAAAGCCTGCTATTTGATATACATAAATATTATTGATTACTTAGACTATTAATGAAAATTGTTTCAGCATTATTAAAAACTCCACGGAAGTTTTATAAAAGGACAAGCTGGAAGGGGAGTTCTACGGTTGTCAATCTCATTATGTCCTGGTATTTGTCACTTTAGTGATGATTTTTAATACTTCTCTATGCTTTTCCAACCTTATTGCCTCGTAGTAAAGGGGGATTAAAAACTGTTAACAAATTGGTATTTCTATAGAAATGGATAAGATAACTTTATATCTTTCAAAACATTTATTTATATCAGATGACAGCCGTTTTGATAGTTATCAATAGCCCTTTAGCTGACTTCGAGCTTCACAGAGGAGAGGAACATCATGGTGATAAAAATTCGAGAGGAAGAACAGAAGAGTGACTCAAAGATGTAAATAGACAGACAGACAGACAGACAAAAAACAGAGAAAAGTAAAGATGAGTACTGTGGAAGTAGCTGAATATGACATACAGTGGGGTCAAGGTAGTTTGAAGTCAGAGGCTAAGTGCCGGTTTATAGGCATTTTTGAAGTAGTTATTTAATATGCCCAGGGTGCACCACGTAGAGGTAAGACTATCGCATACCCCTCTATCAAAACATATTGAAATTAATAAAAAAATAGTCAAAATGTGGTCCACTCGCATCAAAAGATTTCGATAAAGATTCGAAGTTGGTCCAATGCTCAAACATACTGATAAACACTTTCACCATGAATTACTGCATAAAAATAAAATTAACAATTAGCCGTTAATTTTTCATAAATTATGCATACTGTTCAAACGTACAAGACTATAGATCTGTTTGGCGAAATTTCGACTTGTTATTGAATCCTGGCTATTGGAGGCTAATTAGGTTGTAATGTGAAATTAGCATTAACCATTAAAGAAAATTCAAATAAACGAAGTCTGCATTTATCATTCCCACGGATAAGTTCGTCAGCACCTATAAGAATAGACCAAGACATCTGAAAACGCAATCTGGTCGAATACAAAAAGCCATAGAACTGAAGAAAGCATTACAAATCGATGACAAACCAAAAAGCCTCCCTCTACCCATGAACCCATTAGCAGACATTGATGAAGTGTGTTGCACCCAACTGCTTGACTTCTTCAGGAAATCAAACACTCCTCCAGAGCAAATGCGCTCACTGGCACTTGAGACAATCAATGTCAACTCTCCTGCAGATCAATGGCTCCAAGTCTTCACTGATGGGTCATACATAGAAAACCAAGCAAACGTTGATGCAGGTATCTATTCTGAACTCTTCTCTTTCTACGAAGCAGCGGGACATGGTGATACTTTCGGACTCACAGTCAGTAATAGACTCTATTGAAAACAGAGAGACACCCAAAACAGCTGAGATAAAGGAATGTAGAAAACTCTACGAGCTGCTGAGAGAGAAAAACAAAACAGTGGTCCTACAATGGATTCCTGGTCAGTGTGGCATTAAAGGCAATGAGATTGCTGACACACTTGCTAAGAACTGGACAACGATTTTGCAATGCATGGACCGGCCGATGTCTTTCCACACAATGAAGGCCTTTATCTGGAGAGAATTCCAGACCTCAAGGTTCAACGAACTCAAAGCTCGAACAAAGGAGAAACAGTGGACAGTGGCACTCTCCGACATACCCGACTGGCCAAGAATCGAAGCCGTTGCTGAGTTTAGACTACGTACCGGACACGATTGCTTGGCAAAACACCTTCACAGATTGGGAGTATACACTCAACCCACATGCCCCCTATGTAACCTACATGAGGAAATGGAGAAGACCCACCTGATTCGGTATCCAGCCCAAAAGACAACGATGGAAACCCAGAGATACTGGAAAGCAAGTAGACAGCTAATGAACTGCTATAAATGTACCCTTCACCCTTGGGGGAAGCTGAAGTCAAAGTTTAAGGGCTAGTGATAAATATCATAAAGCCTGCCATTTGAAAATAAATCACCATTTATGAGGAAAATGATAGCCATTTGTTCATTGCAGCAGATTTCAGTCTAAAATATTTATGGCGAGTGTAAAAAGATCATATGCGCAAAGTGTCATAATCTTCACAAACTTCGTGATTATAAAAGCAATCATCTAAGTAAATTTTTAATTCAATGACGAAATGTATTTACCTCGAGACCTTTTTTTAAAATAGTGGCTGTATAATCTTTATGTAAGAAATGGATTTGATTCTAAAAGATCTTTCGTGTTTACTGTACTAGTTACTATTTTCTTTTTCATTATAGAGCCATTACATTGCTTGCTTACTGTTAATAACCTTTTTTATTGTTTGCAATAGATCCTGGAACTTGAGTTTTGATTCATCTCCCAAGATTCAAGGATGAAGTAATTTGTTTCAACTGATGTAGCATTGCCAGTTTAAAATTACGTTTGTACTATTTGCCAAATATTATTAAACGACTTTATGTATTAATTGTTTCTCTTAGGCTAACGGAGAATTTCAAAATTTAATTCAGAGAAAAGCAGCTGAACGCAGTAGCACTAAAACGGGTTATTAGGAAAGAAATGTAGGAGGAATTGATTGAGTTAAGGTAAATAATGAGTCGGGGGAACAAGATTTCTACTTTATTTCTTGCACGTTTTCTAAGATGACTATTTTATGATTGGACACCTGAGTTTCTGAGTTAGCCCATGTCTGCAATATTCAGTTGATTTCTTCGAAAGGCCATTTGCAGATACACAAATGTGTTTATAAATAGTAAAATCTTTAAATTCTATTGTATGCGAACTTGACAATGTAAAATTGAAGAAATTAGAAAACATGAGTAGGACAAAAGTAGATATATAAGCTAAAGTTTTTCTGTAGATCTCATCCTTATTATCATGGCCGAAGAATTCACGTCAGGTGAAAAAAAATATTCAAAAAGAACAATGATTGAAATATCCTGTATGAACATATGGAGAGATGAGGAAATGGGAAGGTTCACGACTTTAAAGAAATGGTGGTGCAGGAGAAGACATGGCCACTCCGGTAGACCTAAAAAATCGTAAAGAGAAATGGGAAATTATAGTGAGAATTTATAGTGTTTTCAATATCGCATTGTGGTTAATCAGGATTTCGATTCACTAAGGCCATTATCGGATGTCTTTCATGGCTAAATGTAGCTTACTTACCATGTAAGTTGAAATTATAGATATAAGGAGTGTGGGGGAGGGGGGGATTCAATCCATGCAATGTTAAAAGCAATCTCGATACTGGAACCACATCGCTTCAATCAACTTACTTAAGACGATAAGCCAGAGCCATTTATTACATATATTGCGCTAAAATTAGACAAATGGCATACTACATTGTAGCAGGCAACATTGTATTAAAGAGTAAATAAACTTGTAAAGCGGTTTGGAAAATCGCTTTATATCGCCTTGAGAGCTATTTGGAGGATTTTAATAAAGTGAATGGAACTGATCGTATTCATTCAATTGATTTGCTGAAATTCTCTGAATTAAAAAGTCGATTTGGACTCTCAAATGCCCAATGCTATAATCATATGTAATCGAAATGAAGTTGCTTCAGGCTAGCTCATTTCGTAATTGAAGGCAGGTAAGGAAGTCGTGCTTCTTTCTATTCCCCCCTCCAACTCCCAAAAGTCGAAGCCGTAAAAGTCCAGGCATATAAATAGATAAAAAAGCTCTTGAAGTTGGATATAGGCGACTCAGTCGAGGTGTCGCACATGAAGTTGGATGATATTTGGCGCATTCCTTAGTTTAAATATATTCAATTTCGTGCTGTCATACACAGAAAATTAGATACTCATAACTCAATCCTAATAGTAATGCAGACATAAATGTCAACTTAAGACTCTTTCATCTAGGAATCGAAGTAGTTCTTTGACTGCGTTCATGAAATTTCAACCTAGTACCTAAAACATTTTTCTGATCCTATCTCTTCCAGATGTTGGCCAGGTTTAAATAAAGGATTTTTTCTCACCAGTTTCTGCTTTAGGTCGAGTAAAGTCCGTGACATACTATTCTATTTAAATTACTGACGATATATGCTATGTAAATATGTGAATGAAGCATTGGCGACCCCGAATAAACAGTCTTCAAACGTCTCCGCGGACTCCAGAAGACCACGACGCTGGCTCCTTCCTTTTAAGCTTTATGCTCACTTAAGGGATTACTTGCCAGGAACATTACTCGGCAGAAATTGTATCGCGTGTCTGAAGTTACCCTCAATCATTCACTCATCCACTTCTCATAAGCTTCTCCAATGGCAAGAAATCGCTGAACTGTGTCCAACTCAACACCGACCCAGCTGCGTACAAATCTGCGATCCACAAAGAAAAATGACCTTTAAATTCGATATTCAACCTCCCTCTAGCCTCCTCCACCCGTATTAGTTTTATTTCAATATGTCAGGCATAAAGGTAACATCTCAAAAGCCAGGACAAACAAAATGAAAAGGTACATTTCCTTTATTACGGCTTTTTTGATAAAAAAGAGGGGGGGGGAGGAATATGATTGGAACGTACTGTTTAAAGGCGCAATTACAATGAAATATTTTACCTAAACTGCAAAAATTAGGCAGGTTAGATTAAATGCCAGTTGTATTGTTAATAAGACGGAAAGAAGTTGATAGGAAATAATAACAGAGAAGAGGGTTGGCAGACGGTTTGTTTTCATGGTGGCTTTAGAATTTGCCAAAGATTGAAAGACTCATTAATTGTACCAGAATACTAATTGAGATGATCAGTTGCATTCGTTATTGTTCTGCTGAGATCTGCGTGACAAAGGAGGCATGACACTATTCCCTTCGCCAATCTGGAAGTTCCTAAAATTAGTTGGGTTATAACACTGGTCTAGTGATAGCGGAGACATATGTTGATGCATGAAACACTCCCCATACATCTCCAAACCCAAGGATTGGCCTGATGCTGATGAATAGCCGCCCCCTGTCAAATCTGTCGGGGCCGGAGGAGGAGGGGGACAAATATGACAAGATTGACAAGCTACGCTTGAACTGTACCGAACCGCGGGTGATGAGAATAAGGTGGTCGCATCATTTGCAAATCCTCGCTCAGGCCGCTCAGATTCAGCTCCATCTTCAGAAAAAGGTCCACCGTAACCTTGAGACATGCAAGCTCCGTTCCTGTTTAATTTTGATCTCTGTTGTTGCGTCTGAGGAAGTGGAAGTTGTCGCTGTGGTGCTTGTGGAACTGCCGATGATAGGTGGCGACGTTTTCCATGACATATCGATCGTTTCCAACTAACTAGGGTCTTTTTGTTGGCCCAAACCCACATACCAGAAGTGATTCCAACGACAAAGGTCATAAAAATTCGCAGCATTGCCGCTTCTGTTGAAGGAGACTCTTTCGGATGGCAGTCGGGAAATTCCCATGCAATTCCACGCTGTGAGAGACAATGGGGACGAAGAGTGCTGAGTTCCTTCAGTGCCAATCGCCACTTCGACTGTCCGAGGTACTCGTAGAGATTGCTAGCAAGAAGACAGCCCATGGGAAAAGTGTAGAGAACGACAAATACTCCCAGTTTGGCGATGGACTTCTCTAAACGTCGTCTACTATCTCGCTCCCTATCAATTGGTGCCTTAAGATTACGTCGAACACGCAAAACGGCCGCAAACCCAACAGACAGTAACATAAGTCCCAAGACGAGACAGATTGCTTGAGGTAACAAAACACCATACATAAGAGCTGATTCGCTGTGAAAACCGGTATAGCAAGTACCTGTTAGTTCATCTGCATCAATTTTGTGCAGAATGAGAATGAGTATGGCCTGAATTGCTGGAAGAGCCCAAGCAAACATATGAAAGACACTACTGACCGACTCCACGCCCTCATGGCCCCACTTTCTTGATGTCGAGAGGTACCAAGCTAGACTGAGCATAACCCACCAGAAATTACTCGCCATTCCAAAGTAGTAGGTAATGAGAAAACCAACAGTACATAGTGTGCTTTCTTGTCCTCCTGTTAGAAGGTATTTCCGTGTGATACTTTCAGATCCGCTGTCTGTAATTTGCATAGGGCGACAGATAACACGTTCAGGACCCAGGAAATACTGAAAAATGTGTCCCAATCCCATTACAAAATAACAAGCTGCTAAATAGAGAACAGGCCTCTCGGGGTATTGCAGTCGTGAACCATCAGCAAAGAAAGTGAGAAAGGTTAGTGCTGATGAGATAACACAGAGAACAGACCAGCTTAAAAGCCAAGTTCTAGCGAATTTCTTGCCCGCCGGTCGATAATAAAGATCAACTCCACAGTACGTCAGACATGTGTCATTAGAATTTTGGGTAGCGGAAAATTCAGCACCTGTGCAGACATGGCTTAGCGCCCTAGATACCATTGGAATCGAACCATCTGCAACAGCAGCTTGAATAAACGAATCAATGTTTGGTGATCCATGACCTCGTTCCAAAAATAGATCCTGAAAATGAGGATACATTTTCTGAAGAGACGCTATGTTACTCGATGCTGTTGGAAGAATGGGTTTTTGGTCGTCCAGACCGTATCCGTTTGGTGGTTGAATGCAGAGATCTGGTGGCTTTGGTAGGTCATCACAGTTCAACTCAGTGGGCCAGCTGAAGCTGAACTGTTGCATTATCGGCTCACACCGGCTTCTCACATGAATACAGAGAGATTTACAGGGTTTGATTGCAGACGATGGTAGAACAGGAGTGCACATTGGAAAATAAATTGTACAGAGAAATAGTTTGAGGAAATGGGAACAATTAACATTCAGTAAAGATTTATAATCAACCATTCGCTTAGCAGCCTCCTCTTGAGAGGTCATTTTCACCCAATTCGGCATTATGGTATCTTTGTACTGCAGATTTTGACATATTGGCTCACGAATTGGAGTACACTTGGCCTGGTCGTCATCATCGTGATAATTAGGCTTTTTAAGACCATGAAAAGGTTCTGATTCACTGTCAATTGAGGTCACTGATATAAGAAGGATGACAGAAAGGTACATTCCATTCATATTCTCTTCCCGTCACGATAAGATAGAAGAGAAGGAAGAGAGTCAAATAAGTTCACGCAAGCAAGCGTAAACTAAAAATGTACAACTCGTGCCAGCGAGGCTCGCTGAGGAAAACAGGAAGGCGCGATTACCAACAAAAGGAATTCAAGCATATACATGCAAGCACACCGTGTGTGTGTGCGTGTGTGTGCGTTGTATACCCAGTGTGCATGCCTAAGCCAACCAATCACTGACAAACGTGAAGTTGGTTGGCTAGACTCAGTGCGCAGTATACGAGCGGCACTAAGGCGTGCAATGTCGCGATAGGCATCAAAGGAGCGAGGCTAGTTGTTGGGGCTAGTGGGATTGGAGGGATGGTTTGTGGGTTGGCTAGGTGTAACTATGCCTTGTCGTCTATTCAACCGAGAAGTACCGCGCTAAAGATGAAACAGCGGTGGATTCGTCTATGTAGGTGCACGCACTAAGGTGACGTCATCGCAATTATGGACAGCCTGCAGTTCAAATGGCCGTGCCTCACTTTCCGCTGCCATTTTACGCTAGCTGCTATTGGGGCTGTAAATAGAGGACATCTTGAAAAAATTTCAGATCAAATTTTGAACCATAGTGATTATGGATTTGAGCTAAACGTTCTGCCTAATAGACTATTTATATGATTGTATTCAATTGATTGAATTAAAATGATATACTTTCAGGCACTTTCCTTTGGATATCTTTACTCGACCTCTTTTTGCAGCAACGAAGCGCATTATGGAGTGATATTAGTTTGACGTAAAGAACGTAACCGAAGGGTGCCTCTTTACTGTTTTAAAGCACCCCAAAGTTCTTAGTGGTAGCTTATATAGCTATATAATTATAGAAGGATTGTGTAGTTAAGCAAGAAATATAGGAAAAAATTTCATGGCCGATAATAACTTAATGATTGGTGACTTACAACTAATTACATGGCTGCGGAATTGGGATATATACTTATAAAATATATTTTCGGTCATAAACTGCCAGTGTTGCGATTTACTTATATTTGCAATAGTTGTTAATGCCTCGATATTTAGCACCTCGTGAAGACCCTATCAGAACTATTAATAATTGAATTGTGAAAAACATCGTGATGTGTCCTGGGCTGACAGGCTGACACCGTTTAAAAGAAGTCAAATGGAATTAAAGTTAAATCCAGATAAGTAGATAATTGGCAACAACTATTTCCAAATCTCCTTTTCAATATGAAATCAAGATGTCCTTCGCTTTTTCTTTAAATAATCTATTGACTTTCTACTAACATTTTCTCAAGACCAAAATACAAAATTTTTTCGCCATTTCGTTCAACATTTAAAATAATATTTTCGTTTAAATACTATGCTACAAGACTGTCAGGGAAAAGTATGTACTGTGCCTAAGCGATGATGACAGTTACTTTTTTGGTTAAATTTTGATGAATTGTTCAATTAATTTCTCGTTTGATTCTGGTAGCCACATAAGTACAGTAAGGAACACATAGTGTTTTACATTGCCAGAACGTGCATATCCCTATTTGAAAGGAACTAATATTGTCCCTAACTTTTCGTTCTAAAGATTTTCCAACATCAGGTTCATTTTCTATATATATATCATTTAAATCATTAATAGAAGAAGCGTGAGACCAATTTCAAGGAAAAATTGCCCAAATAGAGAGGGAGATAAATTGGCAATATCCTCCTTTTAAGAACCCGTTTGTCCTCTATTCTAAGTCCTTCAAGAAATCTATGAAGTTAATATGCCACTTCTTCTATATCTATATCATTATCTAGTTTAAAAATTACCTTAACTAAATAAACTAGACCATTCAGCTCAAATATGTCATTTTTTATGATACTGAAAGAAGTTCTAACGTATTTCCAACACTATGTCACTTTTTACTCTGAAAGCTCAGTTAAAAGTTCATAGGCATACTGGCTGTTTATTGGCAGTTGTTCTGTACAAATTCGTGTTTAATTTATTGGAAGGGGGACATTTGACATACTTAGATCCAATAATATAATTTTCATAAATTTTAAATCTACCATTATGATTGACCCTTAATGAGTTAAAAAATATGGGTGTTGGTAAATTCGCTTTATTTACGCTGTGTGCAATTGACTTGTCTCCACGTGGTGCATCCTGGGCAACGTATACTCATACGGCAAAAAGTCTATTAACCGGCAGTTAACTTCTGACTTCAAACTACCATCACCCCACCCTATGTCATATTCGACTACTACCACAGTACTCACCTCAACTTTTTTCTACATTTTCTATCCTCGTCTTTGAAACACCCTTCTGTTCCCCTCCCCCCCTCCCCCACCCCGTATCGACTTTTTTCACTTCAATGTTCCTTCCCCTCTGTGAAGCGAGAAGAAAACCAAAGGGCTAATGATAGCTATCAAAACGCCAGCCATTTGATATAAATAAATTAACCACACACGGATCAACAGTGGATTAGAGATAGATCTTCATACAATGATATTTATAATTAAATGGTGGGAGACTGTACTGAAAATAAGCCATTTTATATTCCCTAATCTTGATAATGTAATATAATGAAAAAAATGTATAGGGTAGACGATTCTTAAAGGAGCGCAGTTTCCGTCCACAGGTTTTAAACAAAATAGCATATTAATTTAAGCGGTGTTTATTTCATGCTATTATATGAAGGAATATCGTACTAGTCTTTGTTCGTTTCCTTCAAATCCTTCATTTACATTATTTGAAATGCAATAATAAATATATATTTCCATTTTTAGGGATAAACATAAATTATTTCCAGCTAGGAAGATGAATGACTTCATTTGAACGGGAGAATGTTGCAGATTTTTACGATTTTTCTCCAGCTTCTATTATGGACATATGTAAGGTAGTTGATACCGTGGTAAGAATTTATTGGCAACCCGAGTATCTATCTGTGTTTCTAAATTGATAAGCGAGTAATTTATTTCCCACTAAGGCGAATATCACTTCCAAAGATAAAAATTTTCGAGTAGTTATAATTTTTCCGTCATTGTGCGCTTTGGAAATAACATTTAATAATATTATTAAATAATTAGACTTGTATGGATTTTGTGGCGAGCCACATGTTTCGTTATTTCAGCAGGCCTTTTTATATAGTGAGGGAGAAGGATTTTATCTGCCTCTTGAGGTGAAAATTTATAGCCATTATTATGCCGAGCATATTTGGGAACCAACGGGTAAAAGGGGGGTGGGGGAGGGGGAATACAGAGTGCACGTGTGCATTATTGTGTTTAGACTGGAAGCAGAACCTTGTACACAGCCCCGGACCCGGCCACTTCAAACCCCTCGTGCTAGTAATTCTCCTGCATACAAGTGTGGGAGAAATGTCAACGGAACTGGGTTGGTATTTTCTAAATGGACACTGGGGCAGAAGGCACCTTTTTATTAATACTGAAATGTTAACGCTCTTTTATCCACATACTTGTCGTAAAACAAGGGCAGAGGCAGATAAGGCTCTCTTTATAAACCTTTATTAGATGAGATCGTGATGATCGGAAATTATCTTATAAAGAGTAAGATTTAGACCGAAGTATTTATGAAATCCAACATTTGTGGGTGAGTAAAGTTATTTTATTTTGTATATATTGTATATAAAGTTAATGGAATTATGTTACTTTGAGTATATTTAGGAAAAATTTAAACTTCACGAAGTTTATTAAACTAAGTTAGACGTAATTCAAATAATTCTTAGCAAAGACTATTCGCTAACAAAGGAAAAATTACGCTTTAATAAATGGTGAACCTTAATCTACTTGTTTTTGTTTTTAGTTAATTTAATAGTATGCAAATGGAGGTATGCGATAGACTTACCTCCACGTGGTGCACCCTGGGCAACTTATACAATTACTGTAAAAAAGCCTTTTAACCGGCACTTAACTTCTGACTTAAAACTACTATGACCCCAATATATATCATATTCAACCCCTTCCACAGTACTCACCTTACCTTACCTTTTTCTCTACCTTTGTGTCTGTCTGTCTCTTTTACATCCTTGTATCACTTTTCTGTTTCCCCTCTCGACTTTTTCTCACTTCGGGCTCCACAGAGGAGAGGAACATCAAAGTCAGCCAAAGGGCTACTGATAACTATCAAAACGCCTGCTATTTGAAATAAATAAATAAATGGTATGCAAATGTATGTATGCAGCCGACTGGAAAAAGGTAGTTAATAAGATTGTCCAATTAGAATAAGATTAGAATATTAAAATTGGAATCATACGTACGCGTATGTCAATATCCATATTAGATACTTCCAAAGAAAACATAAACAATCATATCACCTAATTTTTTGTGACACTTCAATTAAAATTATTGATAAACTGATTCCTTCATGTTTAATTACCTTTGGTAAAAGCTATTCAACTTCACTCCATTTTTTCCTAATAAACTTAATATTTATTAATATTGGAAAAGAATGAAGTGATTTGATGAGAATGAATGCCATATGATTGGAAATATGATATTCGCTTTTCCTACATGGAACGTGTTCGAAGCTGCTTAAATCTAATTCATTTTCTAACCTCACTGATTTTTCTTTAGGCAAAAATATAAATCATGGTGTTTATACTGTGCCATGCAAAGGTACCAGTGAAATGCCTTTCAGGTGGTTAGATTTCTAATCTCAAGACTTAAAAACAGACAAATATTAAGGAAACCATGAAACAGTTAAAAATGAAATTTACCAGAAAAATGGAAACGAGCTACAACTTGTGATTTACGACTGAAAACTAGTAGATAAATTTTTCAACTCTCCGAAAAAATGGAAAAATTGGTAAATTGGAGAGCACCGTTATTTGGTGCTTTTATGCTTGCATTTAAATGGGCAATTGAGGTGTTAACTATCAAGATGATAACGTGGTTCAAGATTCTTGCACAAAGGGGACCTTCCTTTGACTTCGTTGATTTCTTTTTAGTGGAAGCCGAAACTTCTGAAGTAACTCGTTACATTGATGCTTTCATTTTGTTTCTATGGTCATTCACCAG